GGTTTCAGATTGATCTGCTATAATGTGAACATAGCCTGAAGAAAAATGTTTCACTTAGCTGCATCTTTAATTCTGACACAGTATTCAAAATATTTTACCATTATCCAGACTATCCAACAAGGGAATGAGTGGGAACATAATTGTTAACAGTATATAATGTGAGGAGCAAGAGCAATGGGCTAACTCATGTTGAATGAAATAACTGAGATACTATTTGATATGCCTGGTTTAAAAGGCTCCATTTCTCACTAATTTCAACAGCATGTTGAGCTATTTAAAAGAAATGTAGCCCTCATTCTGCTTTATGTTTCACTGGTCACTTGTTCTCCTCCCTGTTCACTCCCTTTTCTTTGGCTCTGGTTACCACGCTATCTTTTCCAGGTTAAGAGAAGGCACAGCCGCATGTTTTTGTATGTGAAAGTGTCGAAAACAAAGACCCAGATATTTTCCAGCCCTTCTGAACAATATCCTACTGCTGACTCACTGGTCAACTATTCCAAAAAAAGATTTGTACCTCAGTGTGAAGCTGAAAAAAAAAATGAAAGTCTTACCCAGGTTCAAAGCTTGCGACGTGCCAATGTTCACATGCATTTCTGCAGACATACAATACACAGAGTCAACTACAGTAGGAAGTAGAAGCAGACGTGCAACTCCTCCACTTCTGTCCTCTCCACATGTTGACTTTCTTTGTTTGGTTTTTACCCACCTCACTCCAGCTCTCTGTCTCTCCCTCTCTCTCAGCCTCATTCCTAATCTCGCACCAAAAAATGCAAGCTGTTTATTTGCGTAGGGCTGAAGCCATTCCATTAAGTAGCCCCACCAGGTGCTTTATCCCTAAAAGGGATTTGTTTTCTAAAATAAACGGAGAAAGCAAAGGACTGCCAAAGTGATATTTACCATGACATGAAGTGATTGCAACAAAGTCAAAACTATCCAAATAAGATTCACTGCGCCTTGTAGGAACTTTTTTGAATTTCCTTACATAGTCAGAGACCTTCTCTAGTCAGACTGGAAACCATAAACAAGAGTCCTTTAAATGCGTCATAATAAACACATTTATATTGATTTTGGGAGCAGGGACTGTATGTACATATACTAAGTTATATTTGATATTTCACCAGTTATAGTACAGTCTATTGTTTTGCAGTAAAGGCAGTCTGACAGATGCCGGCCTAGGTAACCACAAAAAAATCCCCGTCTGTATAGTCATTTTGCTCAGAGGACAACAAATCAATCCAAGTTATTAGTTCTATTTCATCTTTTCTGGAATGGAGACACAAGGCCAAATCTAAAAAAGAGAGCCTTGACACTTTTTTTCTCACTTTTGTGATTTTCTTTTCATCTTGCTGTAAGACAACTCATCTGCGGCTGGAATTTGCTTACTTCTGTCACCTCAGTCAATCTCAAACAAAGACAGCGTCATGTTAGCCGTCTGCACCTGGTAGCAGGCTGACATTATCAAAACTCCTCACTCTCCCAGCAGACCAGAGTTTATACATCCATCGATATGTTTCGGACCAAAAGAAGACATGTCTGTTTGATGCTGATAGAAAAAGAAATTGAAACTTGCCCGACGCACCACCCCCCACAGAAAAAAAAAAAGATATTTTAAGTAGATTCAAGATAACACATGTGTGATAACATTATCGGGGCAATTCTTTCTACCTCACAGCAGAAGATAAGTCGAAGGAGATGCAAGAGAAAATATTGTGTGACAGCGTTAGGCATGCATTTAACTGTGCAACCTGCTTAGCCAGACAATACAGAGGCGGGCGATCTGCCAGAGTGTGTTCTGATAGCAGCTGATGTGGCCATGGGAGCAGAGCATCAGATAGGGAAAGCAGACAGAGGCCAGGTGAGGGTGTTTAGAAGGCTTTGACACATCCTGTGATCTCAATCAACAGGAAAAGGCAGAAGCATGCCGTCGCTTTATGTCTCTGCCTTGGTCCCCATTGTGACGTCTTTGTAGGGACGATAATTTTTCATTTTCACGCTGCCTTGCGTCTATTCTGCCTGTCACTGTTTTTAACTACAGCAGCCAAGCTCGGAGAGTAGATTACGGTACTTACAGTGCATGAAAAACACAGCAACAAAACTGCCAGTGACAGAAGCGTTTAACTTTCTTGCTGGAAATCTCCCCCATGTGGCACTTTTGCTACAGCGAGTTGTTTATTATGTTCCAAGCTAGGCATAAGCGATTAAAGGAGCTCTTAAGAATCAAAGTGTTATAAATGCATGGAAACACAGCCGGCTGTAAATGCCACAGAATTAGAAGCTTACCAAGCCTAATACTAATACATGGCAATTTTCAGCTTGATGCTGATATAAAGAAATTACTTTTTTAAAGTAAGCAATAAATGCAGTCAAGGGAACTATTACAGAGGCCCTATTTTCATCCCAGCATAAATCTGCACACGACCTTTCTGCGGGTCCAACTCATGAATCCACTTGTTTATTCTTAACACTTCCATAAAAAGTGGATTAGACAAAGCAATCTCAACGGCTAAAACTAAGGCAATATAAACCAAAGCATTTACAGGAAAGGAAGAATTACAAGAAACTGGGTGTTTGCATGATGTGCTCTTCCTTACATGGATTCATGAAATTCAAATGAAGTCCAGTATAAGGCGATAACATTTTGAAGCCCTCAAAACAGAGTAACATGTTTTGGGCATCTGAGGATTCTTCTAAGCAGAGGCACATTTCTGGAAAGCTGGATGTCATCAGGTCTGAATGCATTGGCCAAACAAGCACAGCAGGCATCAGAGGCAGCCCTATCACACAGATATGGCCATATGATGATAAAGTATTCCAGATATCTAAACTTTTGTCAGACTGCTTTAAGGCTTTCCCTACATTTCAAATTCCTATTTGCTAATTTACAAATAATAAAAAAAGAGTATGGTTGGTCTAAATGAACACCACGCTTCCACACACTGTATTAGAGTCTATTGCACTTTGAAAGAGCTTTAAACATCAAGTCATAGTAATCCTATAAGCTGCCACTGGGATTTGGCCTTACTGATGCAATCAAAATCACATCAGAAAGTTGTGTCAATAATTAGGCTGATTTTGCCACATTAACATTAATTACACAACCATTTGGAAGATTTCAGGGCTGATCTTACATCTGGAGTGGGCAGCTGAGGGGCCTGCTGGAGCGGACCTCACTATGCGGAGAATGCACTCCAGATAAACAGCAGCAACATGAATCCTCCACTTCAATTTTCTCCCAAGTCTCTGTTTTCCAAATGTGGGGGTGATTGTCTGAGTCAAATAAAAGAGGAGTACAGGCTGTTTAACAGATTGTGGTGATGAGAGCCTACTCTTACACTGAGGAGAAATATAACTAGACTGGCTGAGATCCATTGCTAACTGTGACGATGACAGTTACAGCTGCTTTTGCTTTTTCCAAACTCTATGGAGAAGCTGCAGGAGTTAATATTTAACGGTCCAGTGTGTAACATTTTTAAGGATCTATTGGCCGAGATAGAATATAACATTCATAGGTATGTTTCCATTAGTGTATGATCATCTGAAAAAAAGAATCTAAACACCGGCTCTAGATAGGGCCATATGTGTTTTTTTCGCGCATTCTGCGACCACCATAGTTTCTCCATTGCGGTTGGAAAGGGAGGGTGAAACAAGTGAGCTACAATCTGCAACTACACCACTAGATGCCACTAAATCCTACACGATTAAGATGAGAATGTATTGTTGTCATATATTGGCTGTTAGTGCTATAATCTAGGATCTAATTGGATTTATTACACTTTATTGTACAATTACTCAGAACTAAACTGCCTTTTTGGATCCCTTCTCAGGTAAATGGAAAGTTGTAGGGTACACCCTTTTAAAATGTTGTTGTGTGAAATATATTCTAGGTGCAACACTTTACCACTTTTACATTTTACATCAAGAACATTTTCAGATTTTGTTTTAATTTAACATAAAAACTAAATGAACTAGTAGCACAAGTTTATAGTAATAAAAATATGTGAATATGAAAATAGTCATATTTCCACAAGAAAAACAAAATAAGCTGTATTATCCTTCCTAATTTTACCAATGTGTATGTCAGGATATCAATCACTTGCTGCAATCCCCCAAAACAACACAGGTCAAACCCAAGTTACACTTCGTGGCTTATTGCTTTGTTAACTTACAGCCTTGTTGCTCTGTAATAGCCTCAAATGAAAAAAGCGCTGTTTAAATGCACAGTCATTATTTGGCACAGTACGTCCACATGTCCCACCTACAAGTCTTAACATGTTGATGGAGGGAGCGAATGAGTGAGAGAGAGAAAGATGAAATGATAAAGACAGGGGGGAAAAGAGAGAATGAGAGAAAGAGATGACGGTGAGGTTGAAGCTGTATGAGAGAGAAAACAGACACACTCCTCCTCTGAAGCCCTGAGTTCCTGAAGTGTTAACACCCCCCCCCCATACACACACACACACACACACACACAACACAGACACAGACACACACTCCACCTCAAAAGTTCACATCCTGGGGGCCCCCGAAGATAGGGAGAGGGGTGTGAGGAGCAAACACAAGATATGCACCAGAATGGCTGAGATGCCAACGATAGCAAGATTGAGTGCAGTATACCTCGTCCCTCTTATTTGGTAAACATGGCATTACCATACTTTTAGCTTTTCCCGACAAATGTCAACATGTACACAGACAGATATCTCTGTATTGAGCGGCAAGTTCTTCAACAGTGCAGTGTAAAGCTAATTCACAACCAACTTACTAACTCAGCTTTGACCTTCAGGGGAACTGTCCCTTTATTACTCACCATGCTAGTTTCAGAGTGCACCTGTCATCGCCCCACCACAAACCCTCCCACCCTCTTTCCCCATACATACACACTCAAAATACAGTACACAAACAGGACAGCCTCACTGCATTCAGTTAATTATTAAGCCAATTCAATACAGCATTCACACACATGCACAGGGCTGCTAGAGTCTGGTGAATGATTGTGTGTTTACCTTCTACAATGACTTGCTTATTTAAAGCAATCCACAGTTCCAGCAGTGGTAAAACAGCCTCCTCGCCCTGCGGACAAAAGATGGAGAATTATTCAGTTATGAAATAATTACCACTGCTGACCATGATGCATGTCATCAGCAACCACAAGCCAATTTACAGGAAGAAACACAGAGTGCATGGGTGTAAACCGACGCTACCAACAACAAGTTGCGCACCTGTTGCTATTGATTTCATCTGATAATGTGTACAAACAGTCTTATACTTGTTCTGAGAATTATCAGATAGATCAATTCACGGCATTCCTGTGCTGTTTGCTTTCCTTTGTTTGTATGAAGCCATACCAGTCAGCGTACCTTCCTTTGCTGCTGGAGACGCACAGCCACCATGTCAGCTCAGAGCAGGGCAGAAGGCACCTGCCGTTTATCATCCTGCAGCCTACTATTGTCCACGTCAGACGCATCCATGCATTTCCATTTGTCTGTTAACTACAACTACACCCACTTGTGATAACAGATGAACAATGGGGCTGTCTGATGTGAGTCAATGAGTGAGTGTTATTTGCAAGACAAAAACTTTTCATATTGCCAACAGTAGAGGCCCTCCTTGCTGCCCCCTCCCCCTGGTGGTGAACACAGTTTACCTGTACCTGCTCTGCCCTGACTCAACTCCCCCTGGGCGGGCCTGATCTGCATGCGCACAGCTTTCCTAACTGAGCACTCAACCCAGGCAAGGAAAGCTGGAAAAAAAAAAAGAGAGAGAAGGAAACAAAATCTTATTTTTATGGTAAACTGAGAAGTGACTGTGGGGCAATATCTCAGGTGCATTTGAATAAAAGCATTAAAGCATATCCAAATACGAAAGGGTAAAAAAAGCTCCAACTCCCTCTCCCACCGTTTTCTTTTTTGCCGTTTACATTTGGCAGTCAAAACTGCGGCCAGGCGTTTGTGCAAGTGTTTATCTAAAGCAGACTGAGCACAGATAAAAACACACTGGTCCAACTTGCCCAGTTTCTGCATTAATTATGTGTTAAATGCCCTTGTTGAAAACGCAAGTCAACATGCAGCTCGCTCTGAACTCTACTGAGGGTTGAACAATCATCCAAAATGGACCATTCCCACACAACTACCCCTATTATTGTGATTCATTACACTTCAATTAACATATCATCAATGGAATCGTAAATCAATGGCGAGTGGTGACAAATGACAGATATTTTCAGTTTCAAACTACTAAACATCATTAATTCCCATCACCTGAAAGAGCCCCGGGAGCTAAATGAGTTTACCCAACGCATAACATCCATTTAGATAAATGTTCCATCATTTTAATGACGGAAAATTTGTATCGGAGAGAAAAGGCAACAACGGGATCCTGATAGCAGCTGTACGCCTTTTCTCCTTGTAATATAATGCCCATCTTGTAATGCCTAAACAGATAATTGTCTCCATTTCAAACAGCACAAGGCTGTAATGTTGCCATTTAGAACAGTGGGGGTGCGGAGAACGTAGGGTGAGGATAAACAAGCACACGCTGCTTTGCCCGGTTGGGAAAACCGAGCCCATCACACACTCCCACATTGAGATTTTAGGGAATAGAACAACTCCTGGTTGAGATAATTACCCACCTAGGTGGGTTATGTGCATGCTCAGTAAGAGGCTTAAGCTAAGAATATGAATCAAAATGCAACAATTTCGAAAGACAAAGGAAACTGAGGAGCATTTTGCAAGGTTCTCTTGTAAAGTCTTGGGAGGATGCTGTAGGTGCACTGTGTTAAACAAAGGGTAAAATAGGACAACAAAGACTTTTGGCAAAGAAATATCTCATAGTAGTTACAAGACTCTTGTGCGCAATAGATAGCATGACCGTTAGCCTGATGCCTTTAGAGGATCAGATGATCCAAATAAATGTTTCCGTTCTCTATGCAAATAGCACAGGCTTCATTGTAATTGTGGGAGGAAAAAAACATGCAAACACCCTATTTTCAGAGAAAATGGACAACCAGAAGGGTTTTTTGCTATGGTAATGAACTGCTGTGGTTACATCTGAGCACGGACAAAGACTCATTTTATTCTGTCCACAAACCTGTGAAGTGGACTTCCCTATTTTTGAGGGGGTCACGGCTTCACAATATGCTCTCTAGTCCCAGGTATGTTATCGCTGCCTTTGGCTTTGTTGTAAGATTGCATGTTCAAAATATGAATTAATACCCCTCCACTGAAACGCACCCAATCCCAACAAAAGGCCCGCATTCACCATGGACAGCTCTTCAGCTCCTCTAATGGACAGGCTCTCTTCACACTGTGCAGACAAAAAGATGAGGGCCCATGAATATTTACCACTAAGTAAAGTTATTCCATTAATTACTCCGAGCACGCTTAATACTGTATCTGTGGCTACTTCTGTGGCGGCTCGTTAATGAACCTTCACACATCATTACCATATTAATTAATGCTCAACTCAATGGTTGTCAATAGGAGGCTGCCAGAGTTGTCTCTCGGTTCTTTACAGCCCATGCGGGAAGTTTCGATCACTTAGTATCAGCATCTGAATAGATCTGCTGTTTATCATGCCAGGGCATACATGTGCTTGAATTAAACAAAAAAAAAAGAAGTAGTGGCCCTGGTTAACAATCCTCAGGCTGGTGGATCCGTATTAAGAGCATTGTGTAAATAAGAAGAGGGCGTAGGAGAGTTTTAGTTGTGTAGAGTCAGTGATAGCTATATACGGGGTCATTGGTGTTTGTTTTTAGGGTGTGTGCAGGAGATTTTCCAAGTCACTGTCTGTGCTCTGAAACACAGGAAAATCTAAAGCATGACTCACTTCTCAACAAATGCAGCTGCTTACTGTATGATCTGATCTGCTAAAAGGGCTGACTGCACACTATTTTCTCCCTCTTTTCTACTGGGCTTTTATTAAGAAGGACTGATTAAATGAAAAACATAGCTAGGTCTTGTAAAGACTTAAAAAAAAAAAAAAAAGAAAAAAAGTCAGCATTTGAAAAAGTGAAAAAACAAGCATTGTTTTGATGTGATTGGCAGGATCCTGGCATTATATTGTAACACCCACACAGACTGTAAACAACAGCACTTTCTGACACGCAAACAGACCACCAATTAAACCCAACTTCAATCCAGACAGCCCTTATTCTGGGTGCTTTTTTCTGATTCTTTTTTTTTTTTCTAAGCTTAAAAGGCAACAGTGCAGTCTGGTGAATGTCAGGCCTGTCTGATCCCCCAGATTCTTTGGACCTGCCCTCACATTTTGCTGAGCTAAGAACAAAGTACACAGAGTGCACACAGAGAGCTTTGCTGCCTTAATACCAAGGAAGTGGAATTTCACTCCTAACCCAAAACAAACAAGGCCACACATTTCTTTACACTATTTAAATGAGCTCATTGAATACAAAAAGTCCTATCAAGTTGATATCCAGTGCACACTACTCTGTGTCTTTGGGAATTCTAATCTATTGATCCATGAGAAAAAAACACCAGAAAACAGCACTTTGTGAACTATTTTGTCTGCTGAGAAGTCACATCTGGGGCGGCTCAGGATCCCTACAGTTGAAAAAAGTCTCACATTTGCACGTGAAATTAGATCAGCGCAGGCAATAAAGTTCAACCCTGATCACGCACGTACAGCACAGCGCACACAGTGAACATTATGCAATCCTATTTTTATGACCAACCCCTTTTCCACCTTGTCAAGTAGGAGCACTGTCAATTCTACCCGGCCATATCAAGTTACCACTCTCGCCCAGGTCCCAGCTCCTCTCCAACCACAGATCCTGTGCGCTATTAATATCAATAAGCTGTAGATTCCATTTCCCCAGACAAAGACAGAGGGAGATCAAGAGGCGATGAGTGAGGGGAGGAACTAATACCCTCACGCATCACCGTGGGCTTACCACTTACTATCACCTCCAACCCTGCTGCGCTGAAAAAAGGGAAGGCATATGAACTCTCATACACTTGTTTTCACACATCTGCTGGCACCCATATACATATACACATCTACAGCACTGAATGCACACGCACATCAGGCCAACACAAATATAGGCTAACTAACTGCTGGATTATTTGTGAGTTTAAGTCCTCCTGACTGATTGTTCTTCATTCTCAGCACAGCTCAAATGTATTAAACAGATACTGGGAACAGGGTTTTTATTGACAATGCTGCAGTTCATATAGAAGTTTATCAATCAGGTGCTTTGAATAAACAAGCTTTACCTATACTTTCTCTGCTGAATGCATTTTGTTTTGAAATTACAACCCCATGCACACAATTAAGGCTGAAACTAAAAATCATTTTTGCTGAATCTCTCACTTATTTTTTCGATTAATCAGTTAATATCTTTGTCTAAAAGGAAATCTGGAAAGAGTAAAAAATGTCCATCGCAATTTCCCAAAGCCCAAGATGATATCTTCAAATTGCTTGTTTAGTGCAAAAACCTAAATATATTTAGTTTACTATCATATCAGATAAAAAAAGTAATTCTCTGGTCTTAATGAGCTGGAAGTAGCAAATACTTGTCATTTTTCTTTTAAAAATGAACTCAAATGATTAATATGATAATGATTTCAGCTCTACACACAACTATTCGCAGCATGTAGTAGTAACTCCTATAATAAAAACACATTGCTTCATATCTACAACCTTATACACCAACTCTTTCAATCACTTAAAAAACACACCTACAAACACACCCGCATGGACATGCACACACACATACGTCCACCGGCGTCCCATAAGTGTGGAAGGATAATGAAATCTTTACAGACTTACCCCTGAACAGTTAAACAGACTTTCATCATGTTCATGAGACTGTATATTGATGCAGATTCCCTCCAAGCACTGAGTGTTTTGAAATCCACTTCTGAAGAAGAGTAGAAAGCTGCCAGTGAAAGTAGCAGGTATGGAGTAGTTGAAGTAGTGTGTGGTAGTTGAGTGTGTTTGCACGCGTGTGTGTGTGTGTGTGTGTGTGTGTGTGTGTGTGTGTGTGTGTGTGTGTGTGTGTGTGTGTGTGAGAGAGTGAGTGAGAGAGTGAGAGAGAGACAAAGAGAGAGAAA